TCTCTAAGGTGCCACAGAACTGCTTGTTGTTTTTTACTTTATTAATGTGCAGTATTATAATTGTACATGAGTAGGAATGTAACTTGTCTGTAAGGCATGGTATTAGGTATTAAGTTTAATGGCCTCAAAACAAAAACTGCACACAAATGTACGTGGTTTTCTGTTAAGGCTTTGGTCAACCACGGGCATTCATGGTTGATTAATTCTAGAAAACAAATTCAGTACTGAAGGTTTTAACTTGTGCATTTATTATTAATTTAGTCTCACTGCTCATAAAAAAGTAGGAGTATTATTTTACTGTGTGGGCAGTAAGTTTCACAAGCACACATGCCATCAGAGGAGCCTTGGAGATAAGTGATGGCTAGGACTCCATTTCTGTTACGGAGATCATATATTCTGTGACTTTCTGCAACCTCCTCCATGACTTCTGCAGTAGCTAGCGTGGCTTACCAGGATCTCCCATGCACATGGGCCACTGCTGGATTGGCCCCGGGGCCAGCCATAGACACCACTGGAGTGGCCCTATGGCCAACCACACAAGCTTCTGTTCTGTGCCCCCAGGCAGCTGTCCTGGAGTGGCCAGCTGGAGCAGCTGAGGTCCACGGCTTCAGGCAATGGTCCTGGGTCAGACAGAGCAGCCACAGTGTCCTGGGAAGCAGTCCCAAGGCAGCCAACTGGAATAGCCATGGGCTACAGCCCCAGGTAGTGTTCCTTGGTCAGCAGGCTGGAGCAGCTGTCAGCAGCTGGTGCTGCTGACCCCAGGCACTCACTCCAGCAGCGCTCTTCTGCACATGCGCGTGCACCTCAGCAACTGTACCCTCCCTGAACCCTTTTTGTCCCAGATGTAATCACAGGTACTTTTAATAAAAGTCACGGACAGGTCACGGGCAATAAAAAAAAAATCATGCCTGTGATTTATAGACTTTAAGGTCAGAAGGGACCATTATGATCATCCAGTCTGACCCCCTGCACAGTGCAGGCCACAAAATCTCACCCACCCTTCCTAGAATAATCCTAGAATAATCCTTGTCCAAGTCTTTTACTAAAAGTACCTGTGACATAGCCTTAGTGATGAGTGTAGACCAGGAGTGGGAGAGTAATTTATTACAATCAATTAAATTTGTTCCTTTGGTTCCTAGAACAGGTGTAATAAATCATTAGTGGCCAAGGACATGCCATAAATGAGGACAGAGACAATACGTTAAGTGGAGAAAAGCAGCCAAAACTTTAACACAGTCCCAAATATAAATAAACAAGAGACAGGCAGATTTTGTTTGTACAATGACTATTTGCTCTATGAAGACTGGAAAAAATTCTCTAGGGTCCTAAAGTACCATGACATGGCAAGTACAGATTGTTATGAGTACATTTTTGAGTCTAGAAATTCTGTTGACACCTAGGTAGCTCCTTCAACATAGGCACTTGATAGACAAATTCCTCTTTTATGTCTGGTGTTATCTTCATCTGCTAATCCTATGCAAGAAGCCTAAACCTCAACTCTCCAAATCTGAATTGTCTGACAACTTGTTACCACAGACTAACTGAATAATTCCCTTGCTAATCTCAGTCAGAGTTAGCTACCATCAGAGGTGACAGGCGTGCCACTTACTCTAGTTTGGTTAACAGAAATCCTCCCAAACTCATTGGCTCACCGAGGTGATGAATGTCTGTTCCCAAATCTGAGTTGCACTTCACCATGCCAGGAAAAACCTATGCCATCCTGTGAAATGTCTCCATATCCTAAACTCTCTATGAAGTCTTTCAGGGGGTATCATATGTGGGGGAAGGCAGTGCCTCCTCAAACTACCAGGCATGGTCCCACCCACACTCTGCCCCCAGAATACATACTGTAGGCTTACCAGGGGCAGAGTGTTTCTCTGAGCTATGGAGGCTGGGGCCACATGCCTTCTGCCTTTCCCCAGTGCTCTATGGCCATGTGCTACCCACCCTCTTGGTGGTGCTGGAAGGTGGGGCCTGAACAGAAGGGGTGGAATTGGGAGCTAGGGGCTTGCCTCCCCCAGCCCTACTCTGACCCATTGCCCATGCTGCTATTCTTTTGAAGCTGACCTACTACAATATGTGAGTGGAAACTTTTCAGGCTTCTGTGTTGAAGTATGAGCCATGGTTCATGAGTATCTACATATCCTAATTCCTTCTTTCCTCCACCCATTTATATTTGACATGAGATGCTTGTTGCTTACAGGTGAAGTTTGTATTGGCATGCAAAGCCTACTCAGAGCCCTTTGTACCACTCAGATGTGTAACACAGAGGCTGCGTCTAGACTAGCTGCAAGTGTTTGTGCAAAAACACGGACTTTGTACTGTACAAAATCAGTGGTTCTTGCGCAAATACCTCCTGCTCAGGGATAAGCCTTCTTGCACAAGTATTCTTGCACAAGAGGGCCAGTATAGACAGCCAAGTTAATTTATTGCACAAGAAAGCCCGAGGCTAAAATAGCCATTGGAACTTTCTCGCACAAGAGAGCGTCTATACTGGCACGGATGCTTTTGCACAAAAGATGTCTTTTTGCGCAAAAGCATCCATGCCAGTGTAGACGTTCACTTGCACAAATACTTTTAACGGAAAAACTTTTCCGTTAAAAGTATTTGCGCAAAATCATTCCAGTCTAGACGCAGTGTAACTGGTGCATAGAACCTTTTATGTATTCTCTCCACTGGGGTGACTTTCAGCTGAAATAAAATTACAGCAGCAAAAAGAGCACTTTACGTTGCACATCAAAAGCAAGAGTTGGTCCCTCTGTTTTCCTTCCAAGCAATAAATTGACTGCCTCTCTAGGCAGTACAGAATAAAAAATCCAGATATGATACCCTTTAAATCATTTGCCTACAGTCTTTATCAAAAGAAGTGCCAATCTGGCATGTACCAATTATTCCATTTCTTGGCATCATGTTTTTTGTTGGTGGTGGTTCATCCCTTGAAGGATTATGTCTCTGTCTGAGAAGTATGATCCCTTTCTCTTACCTATTCTGCAAGAGTCACATTTTCATCATACCCCCAGACTGATGGGGAAACCCTTTCCTGTACAGGTGACTCTGGCTGAAGACATCTCAGATCTAGGCTTTCATAGATCTTTCGGTTTACAAAGGCTGGTATATCTGGAGATTGTGCCCACCACTGGATCCTCATGACCCACTTGGAAGTCATGGGAAAGGTGAGTGGTTGTGGACTATCCGACATTATGACAGCGCACACATGAATTCTCCAGTCATTGTTATGCACATCTGTATTGCATGTTATGCTCTCTCCCCATAGTAGCATTCAGAACTATTATATTCCTCAAAGTCCATTAGCTCCTCAAAGCCACATATATGTAAATGCAATGCATTGGGTGGGAGAGGGTTAAAACGAAACTTTGATAGCATAAAAAATGGACACACATTGATTTTTACTAGATCCTCAATGTGCCTTATATTAAATACCAGTTGTGATTTAAGAGAAATTAAACTCCCAACAACATGGCGCATTTAAAGAGGTGAATAGATAAAATGATAAAAATGGAGAGATGGGGAAAGCCACAAAAATAGCAAATCATGGATAACATAATTTCTTTGTGACTTTTTAAAAAATTAGGCACCCTGTAACATTTTTCAAGTGATTTGTGCTTTGTGTGGGAAAAGGAGAAGTTGTATACCTACCAAATGAAATGCAAGTCCCATGCAATGCTCAAGTATTCACTTGCACCCAGGTGCACAGTAAGAGTTCATGGTTACATGGTACTTGTGCTGGCTCTCTGAATCAAGAATAAGACTGGATTTTGTTTACTGCATGCAGCCGGCACCTTTTTTGCTCCACCACTCCCTGCCTGGCAATAGCCGTCTTTACAAGGTGATTGTGCCTAAGGTATAAAAACAACAGGGAGAAGGGTGGAAGGAAGAACGTGAGGAGGAGAATGGAAAGTAGCTAAGCATGGAAAGGCTGTGAAAGTCTTAGGGAAAAGCATGTTGCATTTTAGTTTTGTGCTAATTGGCTGTTTGATTAAGTGAGAAGAATTAATGTGGGTTTGGTCTTTTTTTTTTATTGGTAACTAAAATAATGTTTAAAACCACATTGTTTCAGTTATATAAAAAATCTAAGCTAGTAAAATGACTTGTGGTGCTTGATGATGATTGTGTTTTTTATAATTATATATATATATATAAATGTGCCTGGAGGCCCCAGCTGAGAGCATGCCTCATATTGCTTAAGCATCGTACAAATGCATAGGAAAAACGTATAGTCTAAGCAGGCAGGCCAGATAGTGTCATGGGCGCTGGGACTAGCCATGCAGGAATGATGCTACATCCCCTGGCTTGAAGTGGTTTACATCATATAAGGTTTACAGTTTGGTTTAATGTCTCTCAGAACCCCCACCATTGTCCCTGCATGACCGGATTGCTCCTGCACTACTCCAAAGCATGGGAGAGGCACATTGGGGAAAAATAATTGACCTGGGTCTTGAATCCATCCATCTGCTAGTCAAGTGTCTTAACCACTAGACCATACTCTCTATGAAGCTTGTGGAGCTAATTCATGAGAGTTGTTAACCCCTCTCTTCCCCCCACCCCACATTGGAATGGTACTGCAATTCATGAGAATTGTTTTTCTTTTTTGGTCCATCCTTAAGGACCAATCTTCTGGATAGGCCACCAGGATGTAAATCCAGCATTTGGAGTCTTGTAGGGCTTGCATCCCACCAAGTCACATTTTTATCTTGCTTGGACCTAATAAAACCTTAGGAAGGAGATGTCTTCTGCTCTGTTGGGCACAAAATTAATTAGTCATATAAGTTGCATCATAAGCTGTATGTGATAAATCCTTTCCATTCCTGTTTACTTAACGTTGTAATGTAGCCTTAAGTTTTTGGTATGTTTGCTCTTACTGCTAACAAAGCCGCCATTCTCATTTTATGTTCACAGTTTTTTGAGCAAAGCTGAATATACTTTTAGTGATAGAGCAACATCAACATAGGAACATTTGTGTTAATTATGCTTTTTTATTTATGTTTTAAGATGGGCAGAGGTTATTAGCGCCTCCCCAGACAAAGATGGAAGTGCTGTGGAACACAATTATAAGCTGTTCTGCTTGAGTTCTTGTCTGTGTTTTTAGCATTTGTTTTTGATAAACACATTTTTTTAACGACTATAATCCTCAGAACTTGTGGTTTCAAACAAGCATTTAGTGTTCCAGGAGTTGGATTTCATGGGATTTGAGGGAGGGCTAGTCCAGAGTTAATTAGGTTCTTGGCTTTTAAGACTAATTATAATTCTGAAGCAGAAAAAATATACACAAATTGTCCAAATTAATGTTTTCTTTGGCGGAATGAAGAAAGAGCTTTTTTCTTTTCCTTGGCATTAAAGATTATTTTAAAAAATAAATTATACTCTGTAAAAAAATATTCCTTTTTTTCACAAGGTGGGATTTATGTTATTTCAAGGTTTTGGATTTTCTTTTTAAATAATTATTTCAGGAGGATATCCCCTAAAAGCTGCTAGAGCACTTTTTCACATCACATAAATTAATGTATGTTCCACTGAGTCAGGGCTTTAATATTTAAGTAGCTAGGAGCATGTCTACACAGCAGCATTATTTTGGAATAACTAACGTTATTCCAAAATGCCATAGACCGCGTCTACACTACAAGCAGTTATTTTGACATTATGTCAAAATAATATTGAGCTGGAGAACTTACTCCAACTCCTGTAACCCTCATTTTATGAGCAGCAAGGAAAGTCGGAAGAAGAGTGCTATTTCTCAGACTTCCTGCTGTGTAGACAACACCAAAAGCTGAAATAAGCTATTTTAATGTAAGCTACACAGTTGACGTAGCTGAAGTTGCATAGCTTATTTCAGCTGTAGCCCTGCTGTGCAGACGTGCCCAAACAGAATGAAGGATTCCTCTTTATTTAACAATATTTAGTTTGTCTTGTGTAGTATTTTTATCGGTAGATCTCAAAACACTTTACACAGTATTGTTTTACAGATGAGGAAACTCAGGCATGAAGAAGTGATGTGATTTGCTTTCAGTGATCTAGCAGGCCAGCGACAGATCAGAAAATAGAACCCAGTCTTCTGAGTCCCAGGCCAGTGCTATTCCCACCTGGCAGTTCTACCTCAGCAACTAGGTTTTTGATTAAAACTGTACTAATAACTGGTAATACTTGAAATGGTAATAGTTATCAGCAAGGTTGGGTCTTTTCATGTTCAGGGCTCTTTGCAAACGTTAATTATTCTAATTATCTGCAAGGTTAATATAATTATCTACAAGGTTATATTTTATTATACACTATAAGTATCATTAATATGCTTAATTATCTATGATGTTAATATAATATTGAAATTCACCCTGAGATCCAGCTGTCCTTCCCCAACCACAACAAATGTATTAATGTTACGATTTGAAAAACATGAATAAAATCATGATGGAGTGGAAAAGTAATTTCACTTGACAGCAAATGTGGGCTATCGTTTCTGTAAAATAAATAAAATTTTTACAGAATTTTAGAGCATTGCCAACTTGAGAAAGCAATGTAGTTGTTCACTTATTCTGAGAACAAACTTAGGTTCTGCTCTTGCAAATACTTTCTGATGTGTGCATCTCTGATCAAATGTGTGGTCCCCTTTGACTTTGGCTGTTCATGTGAGCAAAGTTACATATGTTTGGAGACCCAGGTCCTCAGTTAAGCTCAGTGAAATTCCCACATTGCCAGGCCACACCCATGGGACTGGGGTATACCTTAGTGACAGCTACAGCTGATGCCAGCTCTTCGCAGCAGCTCTGGGAACCAGGGTTGGGGTACATGTTTTGGCAGACCAGTAACAGTTTAGTTGCACATTTACACATTATTTGCATACTGAATATGCAAATAAATGTTACAGGTCAGCCAAAAGTTTGTGATTGGATTTGCCAGTTCACAGTATAAAAAAGATTGGAAACACTGGACTAAACCAAAACAATAATGCTCTCACACATTTTGAAATAATATAATGTCACCAGTTTAATTCCGGTAAAAAATCACACTTTAAGTTAAACCAATCCAAGTGGCTAACGATCAATGATTTTGGTTTTAAAAAAATTAAATTGTTTTATTTAAATCAGTTTTTATTTAAATGGGTTTTCCCCCTCAAAACATTTTATAAAAAAAAATCCAATGTCAAGATTGGTTTGGAAATAAGTTCCAATAACTCATGGATTAGGGACCCAATCTTATAGGGTTTCAGGTGCTTCTGTATAGATTTAGGTTAATTTTTCTACCTACCTAATGGGAGTCAGTGCAAGTCCAAAAGATACCATCAGAGATGCTTAGTTTTGCAGTACTCAAACTGCGGATTTGTGTCTCCAGAGATAACTTGCTTGTTAACAGCAAAAGTTTTTAAATAAATAAAATAGAGGTGAGAGATAATGGACCTTAACCCTATTGTTCCTCTGCAAATTTGTGTATGCAGAGTCAATCACTTATTTCTCTTTAAAAGTGCAATGAATAGGAGCCAAAATATTAAGTTTCTCATTTTGACTTGGCTGAAAGTCAATTTATTTTTTGTTTAAAAATATTTCATTCAAATATTTATTTTAACAAACAAATTTGATTTAAAAATCATGAATGTTTAACTAAATTTTTAAAAATTCATGTATTCGTTTGTTAAAATATTTTTTGTCATTTGAAAAAATTCCAGAATATATAACATAATTTGAGTTAGAGACATTTTAATTTTTGTATTTATCTAGTGATGTTCTCCTCATAATACAGCATGGCAAGAAAATCCTCCAAATATTAATGATTAACGTGTTGAACTGGAGATATTTCACTTTCCAATGACTTCAGTTAAATCAGATTTTTCTATTTAGATCTGTGGCCAAATGCTGCCTGCCTTACTCAAACAAGAGGATATGGGGGGGAAGAGGAGGAAGGAGTGAGTGAGTGTGTGTGTGTGTGTGAGAGAGAGTGTGTGTGTCTAACATGAAAAAAACATTCACTTAGTGACCTCAGTGGATAGCAGCAGTGAGAGGAAACTGAAAAGGGAATTGAATGATGCAAGGATGAACACAGAGGAATAGAAGAAAATTGTGTTGTCACTTTTCAGATAGTTTCTGAAGTAACCTCCTATGAATTTTTTAGTGAATAAATGTCAACAAAGCAAAATAAACCAAAAAAGGGATTCTTTCTAGAGCTTGGTTCTTTTGGGAGAATTTTTATTTGTAGAAATATCCAATATTTTTAATTGTTGAAAACCAATGACTTAAAGTCTACATTTAGATCTGCTTTTTACTTTCCAGCTAGTTTTGCCAGAAGCCATTCTACTAGAACATTAGGAAGGAAATAAACTTTTAAACATAATTTAAGGCCGGAAGAGTCTTTTAATCACACTTTTCGTAAAAATAACAACATGACTTAAAACATGAAATACACACTAAAATACACACAGGATAAAATAGTACATTGCTAGGGCCAAATGACAGGAATTTCACTGTTACCTATATTTGTTTAATTCTAAACATTTAATATTTTTAGTAATCAGTTCAAATGCTCATGGCTTAATTCAGCAAAATCTTTTAACAGTGCCAGTATCCGCACAAATGCTTGTGCAGCAATGCAAATGCTTAATAGTGCATTAGGTTCCATGGTTTTAATACATTTCTTTACAAGTACTTTTTTACTGAAATGATTAAAAAATGTGATGGCTGCTCTAGGACTAGATTGGGATATCATTATTTCTGCTGAATATTGCCTTATTCCACAATTACTTTTGCTGATTTCAGTGGACCTTCCAATGGGGCAAATAACTATTCAGCAAGCATGGGGAGGGAATCTCAGTGAACTAGAAACTGGGTAATTGAAATGTGTACAGGTGAGAAGCACAGTCGCAATATATTTTGAACATAGACTTAATTTGTACTGTCTTTACCCAATGCAATGTCTGAAAATTTAAATTCCTGAACGCAAAGAAATGGTTCCTGTGGCAATTCTACTCCCTCCCTTCTTGGAGAAAACGTCTCTGTTGCAGACAACAGACACAGCTACTTAAACTAAATAACATACTTGGGGCAGCTGCTACTAGAACATTATGTATTAATATGTGAAGCAATGAAATGCTTCTTTAGCTAGAGCTGGTTTTCTTAAGCCAGGTCTAAACTACACCCAGTAGCTCTGCTTAAGGTACGGAACTCGTGCTACATAGAATATGTCGCTGGAGTCAGCTTACCTTAAGCCAAGCTTGGTGGCGTCCCCACAGTGGGAGGCTGACAGGCACAAATGCTCCCATCAGCTTCCCTTACTCTTCTGAAGAGTAGGAGTACCAGTACTCAGTGAGGGTGCCCTCTGAGTTCAATTTACCAAGTCTTAGTTAGACTCGCTAAATCGAACTCCAGAAGATCAATCACAGCAGCATCAGTCTTCCATGGAGTGAAGATAAGGCCCTAGCCTTTCTCTCGACTATCATCTAAAGTTCAACATCACTCACTCAGCCCAAACCAGATTGAGGGGACCATGTACTCTATAATGGAGCCGAGAAAACTCCGCCTAGAAAGGGGCTGGGTACACAAAAGACAAAGAAACCTTTTTTACTTGTTTGAGAGTTTTTTGCTATCCTGGAATAGGTTATGTTTGTTTGTGACTTGTCTGGGGGGATAAACCACATCTCCAGCACAGCCAGTCAAGTGTGAGGAGACTCACCTCAGGGTAGATGCTATAGTGCCACACTTGCCCAGCAGGGCAGCCATGCCCCATGACAATTGGCCCTTTTTGTTCATTGGCTGTAATATACTTGGTTTGTGGTTAGTGAGTGATGTTCTGGTGTAGCATATTTGCATTGCGTGTATGCCGAGGCATACATTTAATGACATATGTGCGATATGGCTGTGTTATAGTTACTGTGAGAACCATAATGTTTGGCCATATAAATTCTAAGCTTTAGGCCGCGTTAGTGGTGTTTGTTAACTTTTTGTCCTTTTTAAATTAGAGAAAAAAAATCCTCTTGTTAATTTGAATGTAACTATGTTTTTATTTGAATGTTTTCCTTTAAGATTACACCTTGAAATAAATGCAGTAGCCTCAGACAGCCCTCTGGACTTAAGCATGTTAAAAAAGAGTAGAAATAAGTCACTCAAAACACAGCATTTTCA